GGAAGGAAGGGAGGGAGGGAGGAAGGAAGGAAGGAAGGAAGGAAGGAAGGAAGGAAGGAAGGAAGGAAGGAAGGAAGGGAGAGAAAGAAAGAGCTGGGCTTGCCTATCAAGTGCCAGGGCCCAAATCCAAACCCTAGTAGCACTTAATATACATATGCATATACCTATACATACAGATGTACATCCATGTATACACATGCATATACATATGCATATGCATATACATACACATGTACATCCATGTATACACATGCATATATATACATATGCATATGCATATACATACACATGTACATCCATGTATACACATGCATATACATATGCATATACCTATACATGCACATACATATACATATGCAAATACATATACATGTGCATGTACATATGTGTGTATATATGCATATACACATGCATATGCATGTACATGTATACACACCTATACATGTGTGTATAGGTATGTATGCATATGTATACATATGTATACATATGTATATACACATATATGTGTGTATATGCATATACATGTGCATATGTATATACATGTGTGTATGTGTGCATATACATATATACATGTGTGTGCATATACATATGTATGTGCGTGTATGTACATGTACATAACATATGCATATACATATACGTATAGAGCTGCATTCAGTTGTGAGCTTCCTCCTCCCAAGCCCCTAGCATGCGAGGGCAGACCTGAGGAGTGATCTGTGGTGCTGATGGTGGTGGCCGTGAGTGCGGGTAAGGCAGCAGAGCTGTTGTGTGCAGGCTCGAGGGCGGCTGTGGAAGTGAAGGCTGTGTCAACTGAGAAAGTGCTGGCCAGAGTCGTGGCTCCTGGGACACCTGCAATCAGAAGGGCCACCAGCGCTGTCAGGCCATCCTGCGGCCTGGACCTCCTTCCTGAAGCTGAAGCTGGGCACCAGGCGCCCAAGCCTGCCTCCTGCACCACAGACTCAAAGCCCCAGGGTGTTGGGAGAGAGCCGGGGCAGCAGCTGCAGATTCAGATCACAAGTGAAAGACATAGCTGGAGCCTCAGGAACTAGCTTGGACATTCCAGGGAGGCCCACATCTCAGCCAAGCACTCCCTGTCAGAGCAGAGGCAGAGGTGCTGGGTGGCTGCCTGGCATAACGGCTGCTGCGTGCTGACCACAGAGTGGGTGCAACCAGAGCCCAGAGCTCCTCTCTGGGAAAGATCCCCGGATGCAAGCAATACTTTGTGTGCATGCATGAATGCATGCATGCATGCCTCTGTGTGCATGTGTGCACATGCATGCATGTGCCAGTACTGGGCCTGAACTCAGTGCTGGACACTGTCCCTGAGCTTTATTTTTGCCGAAGGCTAGCACTCTACCACTTGAGCCACATTCCACCTTATTTTTCAGTGGTTAATTGAAGATAAGAGTCTCATAGTCTTTCCTGCCTGAGCTGGCTTTGAACCAAGATCCTTCAATCTCAGCTTTCTGAGTTGCAAGGATTATAGGTATGAACCACAAAGTCCCGGCTGTTAATTTTCCTAACAGAGAGCTAACGGTTGCCTAGGTAGTCCCTGAAGTCATTTCCTTTCTTTTCTTTCTAGCTAAAGGTTATCTTTCACAATGCAGGTGTCTTGGTCTAGAGGAAAAAATAAAATTGGTTGGGAATCAATCAGCTTCATAGGCTGCTGACATCATTTTTTTCCCTTCCCAGTCGCGTGGGAGCTGAGTGGCGTAGAATCTGGAGTTGCAGCTGAAGACGCTGAGTGCTGTACCCGGTGGACTTTTCCTTGTCAGACTTCAAAGCACTTCACGCCTGTGCCTATCTCCTGCCCAGAATTCCCGCCCAGGCAAGCAACACAACTGGGGTGAGCAGTTCAATGGTTCGAAGCTGCTCTGCCCCGTGCAGTGGGTCTAGGCTCCAGCAGTGGCAGGTCTGCAAAGGGCTGTGAAGAGCAGGTGACAGCACCCCTCACCTACAGACCAACTGAGCCCGGGATTCAACACACACCTGCCTCCCAACTCACTCTCTCAGAGCCAAGAAACACTGAGATTCAGCCAAACCACAGAAGGGGGTGACAGTGAACGTCAGGTCACCAGTGGTCCATCCCCAGGAGAGCCGGGGAGAGGCGAGGATGGAGGGAGGGAGGACACTGACAGAGACGCATTGTACTTACCAACGGACAGACTGAATGAAAAGGTCATTTAAAAAAAAGTTAAAATGTAAAAAAAAAAGTCATCTAGATGTAGACGTGGATCTTCTCATCTTCTCTGCTGCTTCCCCTCTCCCTTCTCAGCCTCCCAGCCTCCCATCTGCTGTTGTCCTGACGCCTACCTTCCTTCCCTCCGCACTGGAAATTGACTTCTCGCTTGGAATAGACCATCCCTGTCCACAGCTTAAGAGCCAGATTTGGAATTTTAATAAGGGTGACTAATGTTAATAGATCATTAATTAGTGAGATTTAGCCACTGTGCCACACACACACACACACACACACACACACACACACACACAAAACACAACTCTGATCTGGGCAGAACAGACTAGTTTGTGTGACAACCACCCTCCGGGAACAATCCTCTGTGGTTATTTTATATCTTTTTCCTATCCACAACCTCTACCTCTAAGAATTCACTAACAGCTCCAGTGTTGTTTTTTGTTTTTTGGGTTTTTTTTGCTGTAGTTCTCATGGCAACCAGAGTAAGGAAGTGAGGCAGCTCTTTACTAGTATTTTTTAAGAGTGTGTGTGTGTGTATGTGTGTGTGTATGTGTATGTGTGTGTATGTGTGTGTGCATATATGTATGTGTGTGTATGTATGTGTGTATGTGTATGTGTGTATGTGTGTGTGCATATGTGTGTATATGTGTGTATGTATGTGTGTATGTGTGTGTGCATATGTGTGTGTGTGTGTGTGTATTGTACCAGTTCTTCACAATAATAATTGTCTCATGTGTGCAACTTCCTTGTTTGACTCAGACCTAAGTTAAACCCATTTTCTGCCTGTCATAATTCTTTAGCTTAAGAATGTACAGGTCACTGAACGTATAAAGATAGATAAATGAACACAGACAGACAGACAGACAGACAGACAGATAGATAGGATGGACTTATGCTTTGGGAAAGGACATTGCTTTTCCTGAATAGAAAGTATACCATGAAATGATTTTCACAGTACTTTTGGAAAGACAAGGGAGGAAGAAATATTTTGCATTGTTGTTCTAAGAACAGAGGCATTCAGCTGAGAGAACTTTATGTTTGCACAGGATATGTCAGCACCAATTTCTATGTTTCTCATTCCTTAAATGACAGTTCCATTGTGGTCATGGTTTCTTAGTACTGCTGATAAGAAGTTTGCTTAGCTGGGCTGGGAAGGTAGCTCAGTGGTAGAGCGCTTGCCTTGCATGCCTGAGGCCCTGGGTTCGATTCCTCAACACCACATAAGCAAAAAGAAAAAAGCCAGAAGTGGCGCTGTGGCTCAAGTATTAGAGCGCTAGCCTTGAGCTGAAGAGCTGAGGGACAGCTCCCAGGCCCAGAGTTCAGGCCCCATGACCGAACCCCCCGCCCCCCCAAAAAAAAGAAGTTGTCTTAGTGGATCGAGGTCTTTGGGAAAAGATATAATTACTCCTGACCCCAAAGAAGTGTGCATAGTACAGAATTAATTGCCTCAAATGTAAAGAAATTCCTGCTGTGCCCACTAACCCTTGCCTCTTCCTCCTGAGCAGGCCTGCACTGTCAACACAATTCTCATTTTATCCGCTCATGTCTGGGAGAGCCACCTATGAATTTTCATATGTCACAGGGAAATAATTATCAAACCCCCATTTCTCAACACTCAGGAGGCCCACGTTGGACCACTGGCTGGACTTTCTCAGGCTGCTCAGACAGGAGCTAGCCATGGTCTGCAGGGATCTGCACAAGCCCGGACACCTGTGAAGCTGACAGGTCAGGTGTGAGTGTAGGTGGGCCAGCCGGGGTGGAGGGAGGGGGGATACCCAGGGGAGGCCACGCCGGAGGTAAGTGAGAAAGGGAGAGGGTTTCATCATTTCATCAGCTCCGTCTCTGAGCCCGGACTATGACAACATGCCAAGCTGTGCGGGGACCCCATCTGCCCCAGTGGAGGGGACACAGGAAGGATGGACGGACCTGGACTCCATCATGGGCTGCAGACCAGGCTGGACGCAGCCACAGAGACATGCTGTTTCTAGGCCCTGATTTGACTTCCAAAGCACTTTGAGCATTTTGACTTTGCCATCAACTCTATGACCCGACAGCTGATGTCTCTGTAGACAGACTAAGAAAGGATCTTTCAATGTCCCAAAGTCTCTTATAAATCTCCCAGAAGAAACAGAAAATTGGGCAAACAATAGCAACATAGCAGCCATCTAACTATAGACAATAGCCAAAAGTATCTGAGAAGATACTTGTCATTATTTAAAAAATGTGAATCAATGAAAAGTGTGTGTGTGTGTGTGTATGTGTGTGTGTGTGTGTATTTATATGCACCAGGAGTGGGGCTTGAACTCAAGGTTGAGAACTATCTCTGATTTTTTATTCTTGCTCAGGGCTAGCACTCTACTATGGGAGTCACAGCTCTTGAATAGCTTGGGTTACAGGCATGAAGCACCTGTACATAGCAAGAAGTATTTTTTAAACTAGTACAGTAGCACATTTAACAAATGGATGCTATCTAGTGTTGGAAAAATATGAAAGCAATCATGTGTGTATTTACACACACACACTTACACAGTCAATCCCAGAAGCATATGCCAAGAGCCTGGAGGGCATCTCACAATGGTTCACTTAAAGGAACTGCATTTGGGAAGACAGGGCTTTCCTTGTATGTGCCAAGTTTATGATACTACACGTGTGTGTATGTAGAGCTACACCTCGGGACAAATAGCATATGCCTAAGAAATGAGCGAGAGAAATGTAAAACAGATCCCGCCTAGGGGGTGGGAGGGAGGAAGATTAACGAAAGGATGAAAGAAAACAAAAACGGTCAACATACTTGCATGTCTACATGTGAAATGGATCTGCAAAGCTTGCTGAGATTTGTTTAGGAAGAAGGGAGGCGGGATGAGGGAGGGTGATGTTTGCTTATATGGACTGGATGTGTCGAAATGAACCCCCTTGTACAAACTGATGCTGATAAAACGTGGGAAGAATTAATACATCCACATTTCGCTGGAAGAAACCCACATAATAAACCCAAGTTACCCACCCTCAGTGTGGCTAAAAACAATTTGTCTATCTATCCACTCAGTTCTTGATAATGAAAACCTAACATGGAACAAAGAAAGGGGAAGGTTCCACTTCACGAGTCCTGCCAAGAAGGGTAGAACTGACACGGACCAGAGACTGGGAATTCAGCAGAGGGAAATCTGTGAGCAGGAGTGGAGGAAGCATGCAGAACATGGAGATACAAGGAAACAGAGAAACTTCCCCTTGACTCCCCTCTTCCCCCCGACCTCCCCTCCCTTCCTCCCTGCCTGTTCCCTATCCGTAGCCATGCATTCTTTCAGCCAACCAATTTTCTTAGGCACCTAATATTTCCAATATGCATCTGAATAAAATCACATGCTTAAAAACTGCATACATAATTTGAAAAGCAAAGCTAGTTTCTATCACTTTAGAATGTCACCAAGAAACAGGTCAACTCTAAGACAAAGTCAGTGGAGAACACATCCATGTTGTGCTAAAGACACCAGCATCCTGCAAAGAGCGCACAGGAGAGTACCTGGGTCAGGAGGAGAGGTGGCCTGCAAGGAGGCATTTTCTCCTCCAGCAGTGCTTGTGGGTGAGAGTGCAGTGTTGACAGCAGGTAAGGGGTCATCTGAAGGCCAAGCACTGGGCTTCTCTGTGGGTGGTCCTGCTGTATTCAAGGGAGGCAGGGGAAGGAGAAAATGAGTATGCAAATCACATCCTGATCTGTATGATCACCCTAGTGGACTAACTCCCCAACCTATCATAGTGTGTGTATGTGTATACACACAATACACTCAAGCACATGGACATACAATATAGAACCACATATGAAACTACAGAAGCAGAGATATGATCTGCAGATAGAGAGAATAGATGAAGCTGTAGAAATGGAGGTGAAGATAAAATGGGGAAGAGGACTTGAAGTAGCTCTCCTGCCTCCTCTCCTCTCATCCATCACTGGGTTTTCAGCAGACAAAAGAAATTGGATTTTGAAGTATGAAGTCTAATGCATAAAGAGGTTAACTTTTGAAGGACTTATAGATAAAGAAAAGAATACAGGAAGGTAAGTCAGAAAGGGATTACCAGAAAAGCTAGGAATAAGCGGGTGGGGGTGGAGAGAGGGAGAGAGAAAGAGAGAAAGACAGGGTTCAACTGGGTGAGGTGGTCAATGCCTATATTCCCAAATTTTTAGAGGCTGAAGTAAGTTTGAGATGCTGAAGAAATGCCCCTATATACATGCAGATCTTGTCATGAATTTTTAATCAAATGCAAACTAAGCAAAGGGAATACAAAGTATAGAAAATAAAATTCCCAAACAGGCCTGTAAATGACCCACTTTTACTAACATGTCACAATGTATATAACCTTGTGTTAACAAAAGAGGCACAATATAAAACAATATAAAAATGCACATTTCCATTTTTTCTTGGGAAAAATGTGAGCAAGTGGTGATGTAGTAGATGTCTGGTCAGTGATATGAATGCACAAATGGCAAAGAGTCTTGCAAGGAGAAAATGAGTATGCAAATCACATCCTGATCTGTATGATCACCCTAGTGGGTGATCATACAGTAACAACCTGTACTCAATGATCTTAATTTTCTGCACTCTTTTTACTGAAAATGTGTATTTCCATTTGAAAGCACAGAGAAAACATTTTTAAAAATCTACATCTACTCAGGGATTATAGAATTGTATTTTTATTTTTTCTGTATTTCATGATTTAACTTGTCTGAATAGCAAAGAGTACAGTTTTAAATTTTCCACTAATCAAAAACTGGTTAATACACAAACATTTAACTCAGTTCAACAAGCTTGAATAGCTTGAATGAAGCTTGACTGAAAGATAAAATATGCAAAGAAGGGGAGAATAGGGACAAACTAGATAAGGAGAAGTGAAGAACAAGCAGGGGAAAAATTAAGAGCTAAAGTTAGATAATTAGAATAAAATAGAAATGAGAAAGAAATCTTACTTTCATTTAATAACATTGAGCATAAGAGTTAGCTTTTACTAAATACAATAAAAATAATCTAAAGCACATCAAACTGGCCCAAAGCCAATGTACAGGAAACACTACAGGACTCAAAATATGACAGTGCTGTTTGATACCTGGAATTTCATAGCAAATCTAACTAGTATCAAACCTACACCCCTAATTTCATCCAGTACAACCAATGTCAAATCAACAGGTAGAATGAAATAAGCCAGTCTCAAGCGACAAGCTACCAAGGCTTTCTTTCATATGTGGGACTTGAGGGTAGGGGCAAGTGAGATGTCATCAAGCTACAAAATTTTTGCACAGTGAAGGACACTGTTACTAAGCTTAAACATAATAATAATGTCTCTAGCATGAGAGATCTTTGCTGGCTGCGTCTGACAATGACCTGCTATCGAGATTATACAAGGAGTTCAAGAAACTAGACTCTCAACGTATCAATAACATAATGGATTAATGGGCAAAATGGAGGCTTCTCAGAAGAAGTCAAAATGGAATGGACTTGTGGAGGAATGCTCAACATCTGTGGGCATCAAGGAAATGTCGATCACAGCGCTGTGATTCTGTCTCACAGTAAGAATGGCACCATCCAGGACACAAACAAACATAAGATTCTAGTGCTGGGCTTTTAAAAAATAAATGGCATAATTCTATGCAGATTTGCAAGAGTGTTTTCCAACATTTCCAATTTATTTTTATTTATGATAAATAATTCCCATAATAATTTAAGTTTCAGAGGATGTCAACTGTTCTTCAATTAGAATGTTATACTCCATTAAATTAGAAGAGTCACAATAATTTTACTCACCTTCTTTCTAAGGCCCCCTGTCAACCACACGATTAAGGGAGAAATCATGCATTTTCAGTCACAGTAATATTTAAAGATCACATCTATTTAACTACCCACAATTTCTGTTTTGATTTGCATGTAATACACATGAATTCATTGGCAATGCTTAAATTTATTTATCTAAGAATTAGGATACTCTAGAGAACCATTAATTCAATTGTCAGAAGCATTTGAAAATGATTTTTACAAAAATCTTCAAAGTGAAAGTTCTTGCATACTACCGAAAGAGAAAAATTACTCTTCATGAGTTTTTTGTATTAGTAATAAACTGATAAATACATAATATATATTACATTTTAAAATATATAAACTTTAGGGATAATTAATATATAATATATATCAATTCTTAAATATAAGATCATGTTTAGTCTTCTCTGTACTTTCTTAGCTAGTTTCTTAACTCATATCGGACTACACAGTTTTGTGATGTATTTTAAATTCATGTGTAGTGTTAAATTCTTTAAAGGAGAGTGGGATCTTGTCATGTGACTTACCAAGATGCTTTTTTAATTTTGCTTTCTTGTAAAGATGCTGTACAGAGAGGTGACAGTTACATCAGTAAGGTAATGAGTACATTTGCTATCGGGCTTTGTTACTCCCTCCTTTGTTTTTCTCCTAGTATCCTAGTCATGGTTTATAGACTATATGTAAATTTTAGCCTTATGCTGAAATAATTATTAAATTTTTGTGTCATAAACAGGGATTTTTAAAGCAAGAGGATTTCAAGAATAAGTTAGGATTACAAAATTTATCCTTAAATTTTATTTTTGATTAAGTATAAAAATTATATTTACATTAAACACATAGCTATGCAAAAGGAAATCAACCATGGAAAATGAAAATATTAATCCTTACCAAGGGTGGTAAAAGTTGTTTCTTCTCCTGAAAAATAGAAAAAAAAAAAACAAAGTTTCTGGCTTAGATTGATACACATAAATATATTTAAATATGAGAATTTTTAGCACTATTTACCTAAATAAAACTATGTGAAATCATAGTGTTATTTTTCTTTTCTCTCTCATTTTCTCCTTTATCCCTCCCCCCCACTTGTTTTTGAGACAGTTTTTAAGTTTTAAATTGTAAAGGTGATGTACAGAGGGGCTACAGTTACATGAGTCCGATAATGAGTCCATTTACTTTTGAACAGTCCCCCCCTCCTCTCATTCTCTCCCAGTTTTTCCCCTCCCCACCAAACTCTCCCCTAAAGCTGTACAGTTCATTTTCGACATCAACGCTTATGGACATGAACTCCAAGAAATGGAACTAAGACGGTTTTTTAATTATAATGTTTGCAGCTCTCTTTTTTATTTTCTATTCTTCTTTCCTTTTTTCCTTCGGTTTATACCCTTCTGACAATTTTCTTTTTGTATCCTTTGTCTTGTATATAAGTTTATCTGATTTGGGGCAGGGGGGAAGAGAACCAATTCAGCAGGGAAACACACGAAACAACTTGATATAAACTCCTGCCTCGGTCTCCCCATGGCTGGAATTACAAGTGTGGACCACCGTGTTCAGCTTTGTATTTCTTCTATTGCCGTCACATTTACCAAGCCTCACTATACTAAATCTATGTTGCTCCTCTTTCAATTCCCAAGCAAAATAAGGAAGGTGGTACAATAAAAGAAAACTACGAGGACTGACTTCAAGCCTATGAAAGTCTTTGGAAAGACTTGGCAGGATTTTTTTTTAACCGAATGAATATTCAGTTACTTAAAGATCTTTATCGGATACCTATTATATACTACACACTATGTCACATTGTAAGCACAGAGCAGGGACAACATATAGAAAGTAAAGTAGGAGGCTGAGATCTGCAGGATCGTGGTAAGAAGCCTGTTTAGGCAGGAAAGTCCTCAAGACTCCATTTCCAATTAATTAGCAAAAAGAAAAAAAACACCCAGAATGGAGTCGTGGTTCATGGGGTAGAGTGAGGCTCTGACTTTCAAAGCCATTACAATGGTTTGTTAACTACTTATGTGTTTAGTAATAAAGTTGTATAGATTTCTATCACTCTCCTTTTCCTTGTTCATAGTTAAGTACAGTCAAGCACTGCTTAACACTGACGTGTGTTCTGAGACACCATTTTAGGTGTGTCTGTCACTGTGCAAGAACTATAGGCTGTCCTCCCACAAGTTAGGGTGACTCTGGTTAACATGGTCTAATAGGGTCACTGTTGGACAGATGCTCCATTGTTGTGTGAAACACTGTTACCCAACATGTAACTATTTGCCTTTTAGTAAATATCATTATATTATTTGCAAAGTTGTCGCATTGTTTTGTCACACTATCTTTCTATCGCAGTTTAAATACTGTTCTTTCGATTTTCCTTTTAATAGCTTTTCTTCTCTGATTCTTTTGATTTCATTTTGTTTTGAAGCCAGTACTGGGGCTTGAACTAAAAGCCTCCAGGTTTTGCTTTAGCTGTTTCACTGGAAGCAAGTAGTCTACTGCTGGAGCATGTTCCTTTACTCCTGGATTTGGGCCGGCTATAAGAGTCTCTCCTATTCATCTGTGTGGGCTGGCTTCAAAGTATGACCCTCCAATCTCAGCCTCTCTCTGAGTGTCCCACTGAGTGTGAAGAGCAAATGAAGGAGAAAGACTGTAAGAAGAAGTTGATTAATGTTAGCATCAACATTAGCAGCTAATATTAATCAGAAAATGATAACAGTTCTGAGTTGTTCTTTAAAAATGGTACATCTAGAGAAGTCATTTTCCCCTGCCTCAGTAATTTTTTGTTGTCCTTTTCAGAACTCTGATTGAAATACTACACATCACATTATTTCCTATGAAAATGCATTACTTATGAACTACTTAATTTCTCTAAGACATTGTCTCTGAGACAATGTATGTGGCCTAAAGAACAGTCTAGAAGCTGGAAAGGTTTCTGGCGTTTTTACTCTAGAATGCGAAGGGATTTTGTGTGTGTGTGTGTGTGTGTGTGTGTGTGTGTGTGTGGTACAAATAGCATATCTCCTCAACCCTCCCCCTCTGTCTGCATTTTTAAAAATTGGGGTGATATTTATTAACTATTTAGAGCCACTATACCAACCAAATGTCTACAGTAGTTTTTCCATGTCTCAGTTATAGTTTGCAATTCTTCCTAGGTTGTCTGAGCAGCGACTCCAGTGGGATCTTTCACATCATGTCTATAGACATTACTAGAACACCACCAAAATCTTAAGTAGGAGCAACTGTGCTGAATTTTTAGTGCTAAACAAAATGACATGAAAAGATAGGCTCTGTGAGAAACTTGCCAAGCACGCTCACAGAGTAATCTGCTTAACAAGGCTCCCAATGAGTGTATGGGTCAGCCCCAAGCACCTTCCTGATTGGCATGAAAGAGCAATGTACCCTTCATGGAGCCAAGTAACTCTCATAAAAGTAAATAAGACCTTTGCATAGCACACCTAATAAGTTGTGCAAAATAAACATATGTTTAATATTAGGATATTACCCATGATAAACTTCAATTGAACACTACACACACACACACACACACACACACACACACACACACACATGCACATACATACACAACATATAAGAAACAGAAGGTAAGTAAAGAAAAAGATATAAAATACTCATGTGTATGAAGACAGTAACTGTGCAGCTGTATGAGACCCATTGCAACAATGAGATGTACAAGATGTTATGTTGAAAAAATGAACTTTACAACTTTGGCATGAGGGAGTGGGAAGGGGAAACAAAGGAGGAGGCAAGAATGCTTGAAGAAATGTACTTATGACCTTGCCCATGTAATTGTAACCCCTCTGTACGGTATTTTCAGAATTAAAAAAAAGAAAAGAAAAGAAAGATGATAATTTTTGGCAAGTAAGAATTACATCTAGTTTTGCTCTAAACACTCTTCAACGCATCAAATAAATACAACAAAATAAATCACCCAGTCCTGTGATGAATGTCTCCATACAGAGAAGAAACACTTTGGTTTTGTTCTGGGGACACAATTTTCTTCTCCCTGCCTGTAAGGGCCTTGTGCCCTCATGATGTAGAAGAAGGAATATCCTGTCATATGCCAGTAGGTGGCACTGTAGCACTAAAAATCTGTAAATCACCTCACCTAGAGCTTTCTCTTCCCATTCCAGTCTGGAGAATCACCCAAGGAATTGACTAGCTGCATTAAACGGATGAAAATGTAGATAACAGGACACTTGATCTTCAAAGCTATGTTACACTAACACGTGTATTGTTACTGAATTTACCTTTCCCAATATGTTTCTTTTACAACTGAAAAATGTTTAAATGATTGCGAATCAAAGTTTCCTTGAAGTCACACCCCCGAAGTCCCTTACTAGAGATTTCTGCAAAAAATGAAGAATCAGTTTAAGTAGAAATGGCATTTCAAAAGGAATACTCCTGCTTTAAATATCACCAACTCCATCTCCCTTCGGGGGGTGGGGGGGAAACACCATTTTCCAGGGGATTTAAGCCTGGATAGTTCCCAAATCAATCAAAGAAAAATGCAAGGGCAGGAGGGTGAAGCAGCACAGATGAAATAAACGTTTATTTTGGCCTAGAATGCACACACACATTCCTAACTTCCATAAACATAAAGGGCATACAAAAGCAGGGGAAAAAAAGTCAAAACAAAAGGAACCTCTCTACTATATCTGACTTTGTTTCCATAGCCTAACATGATAATAATAAAACACACAAAATAAGAGATTCTACTTTTACTTAGTAAAAGTAGATGGTACATGATCCACCGACAACACATTTAACAAACTGCATAGTCAAAGGGTCAAAACTCCGTGTGACAAGCTATCAGCAAGATTTCCAAGAACCAAGGCAAAGAACCTTCCTCTCTCATTAGATTGTCAGAAAATATAAGAATGATAGTGGTAGTTCTCTCAAATATTATTGCATGCATAGCTCTTTAAATAATTTTTTTGTTTTGTTGTTGTTGTTGTTTTTGCTTTTTGCTACCCATCCTGGGGCTTGAACTCTGGGCCTAGGCACTGTCCCTGACTTCTTTTGCTCAAGGCAAGTGCTCTACCACTTGAGCCACAGCACCACTCCTGGCTTTTTGGAGTACTTTACTGGGGATAAGAATCTCATGCTGTTTCCTGGCCAGGCTGGCTTTGAATGGTACTCCTCAGATCTCAGCCTCCTGAGTATTTATACAACTTTATTTAATCCTCCAATATCAATAGCTAACACTTTACATAATTTATAGGGAATGAAACTGAGCATGTGAGTAATAATCACACATGGAAGAAGTATTATAGTTGAGGTAGGACCTTTAATAATAATTTCCTTATCCTTTATGTTGATTTTATGGTAAAAAAATGGATTGTGTAATTAAATTGTCTTGAGTCTGTTGAGTAAAATAATTGCTACCAGATAATAGTTCCAGAGATTTCTCTGTTCATATACAAACATAAGATTCTAATGGACTCTACTGCTGGAATTCATTTGATAGAGCATAAGCCTTTCTGATTTCTCTCAATCTAGCTAAGGCCTATGAATTTGGAAGCACCATCAAAAACCCAGAGAACTTCAACATATATTTTTAGGCTTCACTGATAAATACAAATACCATAAATACCAGACCAAAGTCTCAAAGAAAGACAGAAGCCAAGACAACTCAGGAGTAACAGCGCAAAGAGCAGGAGAGATTATAAGACTGTAATTGAGAGTCTCAGATTTGAGATGACAGTGCAGGCACAAACAGAAAGAGGTATGATGAGTCATATTTCAAGAACAAAACAGGGGCTGGGAAGGTGGCTCAGTGGTACAGCGCTTGCCTTGCATGCGTGAGGCCCTGGGTTCGATTCCTCAGCACCACCTAAGCAAAAAGAAAAAAGCTGGAAGTGGTAGAGCGCTAGCCTTGAGCTGAAGAGCTGAGGGACAGCGCCCAGGCC